TACCACTGCTGACTTGTTACCCTGGCTCTCACCTTCCTCCTCTCCCTTAAACTCTGACATCCCAGCCTCACAGTATTTTAATACAGGCACATCACTACTCACCCCTATCTCACATTTGGTAGACATCACTGGTTCAGTTACAGGTAGATATTTATCCACACCCTGCTCTCCCTCCCAGCAATCACACTTCACAATGTCTCCCAAAGTTTCACACAATACCTTATGTGGAGCAGTCAGCCCTTCTGGCTCACAAACAGTGTCCGCTGGAGCATAGTGACAGAGCATCCTGCCCAAATCATTCCCCAACAGAACATTAACAGGGATATCCTCCGAAACCCCCACTTCCTGCAAACCTTTGCCCGCACCCCAATCAAGGTACATACATGCCAGGGGCACAGCGGGACGCACACCCCCAATTCCTTTGATGGACATGGTTCTTCCAGGGATTATGTCCTCTGTATTCACCACTTCAGGGCGCACCAGGGTGAATGAAGCTCCAGAATCTCTCAGTCCCACGGTCACTTGGTCACCCACAATTACACTCTGCAGGTTATCCTCTTGTTTCCCCACGGACCCACCCACAAGCAAAACTGATGGTGCCCCTCCACGGACTGGTGAGGGCATATTCCTAGCGGGGCAAGTCCTGCTCAGATGACCAATCTGGTTGCATCGAAAACAACGGCGGGCATCTGACTCACTTGACATAGCCCCGGCTACGCTGGCAGTCGGCGGTGAAGTTCTCACTGCAGATCTTACAAGTGGTGATTGAACTGTAGCTTCTCTCCAGGTCGAAGTAGCAGCTGACACAAGTCCACGCCTGGATGTGGGTGCATGGATGTCGGCATAGTCGTCTGCCAGTTCTGCAGCAGCTCTAGCATTTTTTGGCTTTCTTTCCAAAATCCACTCTCGTACATTAGGGCTCCGGGTCTGCAAGAACTGCTCCAGGACCAGTAAGTCATTAAGGGCTTCATAGGTAGTAGCTTGTACTCCTGTTACCCATTGCCGGAACGTTGTTTCTAATTGTGCAACATATAGAGTGCAGCTGGATGATGGGCATTGCTGCATACTCCTAAACTTTTTCCTGTAAGACTCAGGAGTAAGGTTAAAAGTTTTTTGCAATGCAGATTTGATTGCCTCATAGTTGTTATCAGTCTCTGGGGGAAGGGACACAAACACATCCAAGGCTTTCCCTTTCAATTGTGGAGTTAAATATCTGCCCCACTGGTCTGAGGGTAGTTGATGCTGTCTGCATACTTTCTCAAAACTTTTTAAAAATACATCCAAATCTGTCCCTTCTTCGAGGGAAGGAAAATCATCCTTACGGAGCCTACGTGTGCTGGACTCTGATGCATTGCTGTTCAGTGAGGACTGAAGGGTAAATTGCAGTTTGGCAAGTTCCAGCTCATGTCTCCTTTGTGCCTCCCTTTCGGCTAGCCTCTCTGCAGATTCCCTTTCTGCAGCCTGCTGTTGGATCATCACATGCAGGGCCTCCTGAGGATTTTCAGCCATCAGTTGCCGAAATAAATCAGTTGAGCAAATGTCCTTAATGTTTTGAGGGGTACAACCACCAGGCATTTCAGTAAGCAACACTCCTGCAGTAGTAGGGAGCTCGGTAACCCTTTCAGTGTCCGTCTCTGGCTGGAAAATATGGCTGTCAGCCTCCACAAGGTCAGCAATAAGTTGTGCCTTATTTTTGCCAAAAGTTGGTAAATTTTTTTCTTGGCACAACAATTCCAAGGCCTCTTTTGATTGTTTGCGATAGGCCTCCATATTCACAAATAGGATAGAGAAAGAAAAACAAAAGATGGGAGGGGAGAACTGTTTTGCACTTTGTATGTATTTTAAATCAGCACTGAGCTTGGTCTTTGGAAATTACACAAAAACAAGTATGCAATTTCTTTTAGTGCTAAGACCCCCTTTACAGGTAAAATCTAGCAAGCACTAAAAATCTCTAAATATATCCCACTAGCTGCCGCCAGTTTGTCATGTGCGTGGGCTATAGGCCCAGCCGAGACAGTGGAGAGAGTGTGGAAGTGACAGGGTTAATGACACCAGACCCCTGGTTACCTGCTGCTAGTCCCAGCAACCACTCAATTAACCCCTGCAATCCCTTCTACACTATCCCCCTTAGTACTACTGCCACCACCAAGACTTTTAAACCCGGGCGTCTTAGGTTACCCCACACACAGGAGAATTATAGTATCACGGTTCTACTTTTACTGATAAAACATATATAGTTAACCCCTTTTTGGTAACGTGTTTACCTGAGCTTTCCTCTGGAGAGTGAAGCTCATAGAGAACAGAGACACAAGCTGATTAAGTAAACATTTAATCTGACAAAAAGGATTCACAGTGCTGAGTACAAAATACAGAAATAAATGACATACAGATAACAAATTGCAAAACAGTACATAAAATAAAATAGGAGAAAACACAAGAAATTCCTTACATATATTTACCCCATATAGAATTCTTGTGGGAGTCTTAGATGGTATAGGTCTCCTAGAAGTTACTGACAAAAGAAAAATGAATAACTGACTTCCCTGGATAGTCCAACACCCTCATATATCTAAACTAGTTGTTTCTCAGTGGGCAGACACCTGGGGGGGGGATCAGAGGGGGTTGGTCTGGCAGTCTATTGCCCACTCTATGAAATTCCTTGTGTCCAGCTCTGGTGATGGCTATCTAGATGTTTTATGGTCTAGGCCTGGTGCAAGATCAAAGACCACAATAAATGTCATCCCAAGGTTTACAAAAAAAAACAACTCTTAACATATATAAACACACATCAAACACCAACTCATGCTTTTGGCATGACATGAACCAACCAAATTTTTTTTCTCTGTACATTCCGTGACGGGATCTCTCTCTACGGTCTGTGATGGGATCTCTCTCTTTACGTTCTGTGACGGGATCTCTCTCTTTACGTTCTGTGACGGGATCTCTCACTCTATTCCGTGATGGGATCTCGCTCTACGTTCTATGACGGGATCTTTCTCTCTCTGATGATGGGATCTCTCTCTGTGTTCTATGAAGGAATCTCTCTTTTTACATGCTGTGACGGAATCTCTCTGTATGTTCTATAACAGGATCTCTCTCTAGGTTCTATGGCGAGAGCTCTCTCTCTATGTTCTGTTACGGGATCTCTCTCTATGTTCCATGATGGGATCTCTTACTACGTTCTATGACGGGATATCTCTCTCTACGTTCTATGACAGGATCTCTCTCTCTTTACGTTCCGTGACGGTCTCTCTCTACGTTCCGTGATGGTCTTTCTCTACGTTCCGGTCTCTCTCTACGTTCCGTGATGGTCTTTTTCTACGTTTGTGACGGTCTCTCTCTACGTTTCGTGATGGACTTTCTCTACGTTCCGGTCTCTCTCTACGTTCCGTGACGGTCTCTCTCTACGTTCCGTGACGGTCTCTCTCTACGTTCCGT